AAAGCAAATGAACTGTTATTTTAGCACATATGCTCACAGTGGCTAGATGAGCCAGTTCAGTAAACAGCCACATTCTGAACCAAATGAAACTTTCGAACTGTTTTTAATGGCAGCTTCACACAGAGTAGACTACAGTAATCCCACTCCAAAGTTACAGAAGCCTGGATTGGCTGAGTTTTTAATCAGGTGTAATTGGGAAAAGGTTGTATAGAAATACCCATTCACCTAGTTCGCCTAGTGAGCGAGCCGGCCCTGCATAGATATCAACTCAAAACACATGTAGAACAAACTTCACATAAAAATGAACCAAACTATAAGATAATAATACAATCCATGGAAGAACAATAGATTGCTCAAAGTGAGGCCATTTGGGCAAATAAATCCGTAGCCCAGAGAACTCAAAATCCAATGTAGGCATTCATACAGAGAAAATCCTCTCCCTCCCCTTCACCCTTTAATTGACATGATTCTGTTAGCTGCTCTTGGTGGATAGCTACCCTTCTTGCAACCTACTGTGAGAGAAGAAAAGAAAAGGGGACTGGACCAGCCAACATTTGCAGCAGCCAATCACCACTTGCTCTGAATACACATAGTAATTTTGCTCTATCTACTGCTACCTGCCAGAAGACTAAAGTGAAAAAATGGGAGAAGTAAGGGAAAATGGGGTACTGCATCCTTATCACTAGGAATCTGTTGAAGGAAGCCAAATCAGGAGGCTGCGGTTAACACAAAACGCAATATGTGAGAAGGGAATATAGACCTCAAAACCATGCATACAACTTGGTCAGACACTGAAATAATTTTTGGCTAAGGTATACCAGCCCTGCTCCCTTTTCAAACACATTGACAAATGCTTTCTATTCCTAATTGCTACAGGTGAGTGAGAGGCTGCAATGATATCCCAATAAATACCATGTGGGAGGGAAGGGAGGAATCATATTGCTCTTTCGGCAGATGCTCACTGCCATCAATCATTACTGTGCTCATGTCATGCAGCCAGTGTGCTTGGCTGATGTCTACCTTACAGAAAACTGAGTGATCCAAACCAGAGGAAGTGGCAAATTCGTATATCGGTAAAAACAGTAGGAGATGTCAGAGACAGTCATGATAAAAGAGATTTTTTTTCATGTCCTCAGTATGATTGCCAGACAATTGGAAAAAAAAAATACTGGCAGTCATTTAGGGTTGATTTTTTTAATTGCTGACTGTGAAGTAAATAAATATGGTCAATCAGACCTTAGAGGAATTTATCAGCACCATCACTGGAAATAATTTTGGATACACTTTACAGAGCATAAATCCCTCACAAACTCCATTGAAACAAAAGGCACTTGGGTTGGAACTTAACTTATTCCAACCCCCAATTCCTTTGTATTCATAAAAACTAGAACATGGGCAGTATAATCCTAAACAGAGTTGCACCCTTCTAAACCCACTGCACAGGACTATACATTTGTTGGCATAAAAAAATGAATGATGCAAAACCTAACCCTAATATTAAATATATGTCTTGTTAACAATAATTTTCAGTAACATTTCCTTAAAAGCTGACTCCCCAAAATTAAAAGCAAATATTAGATCTGAAGAAAATGACAATTGTGGCTCTCTCCTTTTTGTTTGTGGCTCTGTGGATGAGTCTCAAGTATTTGCTATTTGTACCTCTTTACTACCACCATGGGAACACCTAAAGACCACTCAAACCAATCAGGGGTAGGCATAAGAGAATGCTCGTACCAGAATGGCGTAATCCCCAGGCAAAGTATTAGATTATTTTCATATTTGGAGGCTTTTCAGATGCTTTTAAAAAAATTATACCACACGGGCTCTTTGAAAAAGAAAGAAGTCACCAGGAGGGTGAGGAGGGACTTTTTAACTCTTGCCATTCTCATTTGAGTTTACCATTAGTGTTAGAAAGGATGAGGCAAGGAAAAAAAAGATGGGAAATAAAAGGCATGAGTGCACAGATACTGTAAGGTGTGTTGAAAGAGCCAAGACAGCACTATTTGGTGGAGAGGGAAGGGCAGTGGAAGGTGTTTAATGGGTATCTGTAAAATCAAACTTAAGAATTAAACTCATAACAAAATTGCTTTTCTTCAGTTACATAGTGATACAACCCTGGGGTTAATTTTTTATGTGATTCTCAGTACGATTTGAGTTCTGTACCCATGGAGCAGATAAATAATATTGATTTGTAGATTTAGGAAAAGAGAGCTCACTGAAACAACCACACTCTCCAGCAGGCAGAATGTTACATATGTGACACTGTGTTGAATGTATTATATCACTATTGAATCCAATTGTATTCCACCATTCCTATGGGGTTGCTAATGTTTAATGAGAGCTACTATTGAGTAATGAACATAGGAACATAAGAACCCTGCTGGATCAGACCAATAGTCCATCTAGCCCAGCCTCCTGTTTCACACAGTGGCCAACCAGTTCCTCTGGACGGCCAACATCAGGGTATAGAGGCCAAAGCCTGCCCTTGATATTGCCTCCTGGCATCAGGGGCTGTGGCTCAGTGGTAGAGCACCTGTGTGGCATACAGAAGGTCCCATGTTCACTCCCCAGCACCTCCAGTTAAAAAGACCAGACAGTACACCCACTGTGTGGAAAGACCTCTGCTTGAGACCTCTGAGTAGACAATACTGACCTTGATGGACCAATTGTCTGATTCAGTATAAGGCAGCTTCATGTGTTCATGCGTGTATTTACAGTTCCATTTTAAGGACATTAATAATGCAAATACTATTGTTGGGAGTAAATAAAATTGCTATGCTTTAATAGATTTATTTATTTATTTACATTATCTATAGTCTGCCTTTCCCACTGGGACTCAAGGCGGGTTACATGGAGTGAGTCAATATAATCAACAGGATGGAACATTCAGTAAACAATGAAATAGTATTTGGGTTATAGAATCAACCAGAAATCTAAAAAAAACCCAACTGAGGCAAAGCATAAATGTTAACAAGACACTTTAAATGATCCAGAATCACATAGTAGGATCCATTTTCCTGCAAGCTATATACAGTAGTGGGAGCTGCGGTGGCTCAAGTGGTTAAGACGCTGAACTGCAGGCTGTGGAAGGTTGGTAGTGCAGCAGGTCGAGACCCGAGTGTGCCGCATGACAGAGTGAGCTCCTGTCTCTAGTTCCAGCTCCTGCCAATCTAACAGTTCGAGAGCACGAAATTGCAAGTAGATAAATAGGTACCACTTCAGTGAGAAGGTAACAGCGTTCCATGCACCTTGGTGTTTAGTCATGCCAGCCACATGACCATGGAAATGTCTGCGGACAGCGCTGGCTCTTCGGCTTTGAAACGGAGATGAGCACCGCAACCCTAGTCGGATTAGACTGGCTTTCGAGCAAGGGAACCTTTACCTTTTTATACACAGTAGTATAGACCACACTCCCTAATAATTTGTCCAAGTAACTTTGTGAATCCTTGGCAGGTAGAGTCGGTAGAAAGACACTTGCTGATGGGTAATGAATGGGGGTGCAGGTGAGGAGAAACACCCAACACCCTCGTGTTCAAGGCTACTACCAGCACACCAAAAGGTCCCAGGTGGATAATCCCTGGCAGGCAGGGTTGGCAGGAGACAGCACATCATCCTTGAAGGTAGACATGGAGACTGAGTGGACTCTTAGCTATTGTTATGAAAACAAGACTACTTCTGTGTCCCACTGGTGGTACATGTACCCTTGGTTGAGAACCACTGTTCTAGAGGATGCACAAGCTACTCTGCAGCAGCTGGCAAGCTACTAGTAGCTAGCTACTTGTTAGAGACTCCTGATCTAGGGATCCCAGCATGGGTATGCTCTCCCCCCCTCCCCGTTCTTAACCACTTCTATTTTACTGTTAAAATTATTTTCTTGCTGCTTTTTCTCTAGAACTCACTGCTTCTCCCTTCCCTATCAGCACCTCTTCTTCCTTATAACTGCTTAAACAACATTTGAAAACATACCTCTTCTATGGAGCTTTTGACCTTCCCTTCTATATTTTCCCCCACTCCTGCTATATTTTTGGGCAGTCAGGACTTGATCTTTTTAATATACTTATTTTTTTGTAGAGCAACTTGTCGGGCCCTTTATAAACAACAAATATTACTATTTGAGTCTGAAGCTAATCTACAATTATAGTATTATCTGAAATCGTCACAAAATTGTCATATAGTTTATAGAAAACGTTGCCTTGACCAGGACTTGTCCCCGGGACTCGTGTGGAAAAGGCCGTTTGGCTTGCACACCAACATACTGCGTAGTTTTTTTTTCTGCTTACCCCGCAGCCTGATCCTACACACGTCAGAAATAAGTTCTGCTGAATGGAGTGCGATTTATTTTCAAGGGTGTAAAGGATCTCATTGCCCGGCTGCTATCCACTCAATGCACACTCACTTGGGGAGTAAACCCCCCCTTGAACTTCCAGATAAACACGGTTAAGATCGGCGTCGGCACAACGAACATTTCCTCTTATCTTTCTGCCAAACGTGAGATAGCAACAGTGAGTCGAGCAAAGAAAGAAAATGAGGGGGGGGAATTAAAAAAGAAGAAGAAGGGGGGAGGGATGCAGAGATCCGAAAGAGAAGAATGGTGGGCAACGCGGAGGGAAAGACACGGTGGAAGAGGAGGAGGCCCTCGGTTGGGGCTGCAGTTGCTGCTCTCAGTCAACAGGTTGCACCGTTCCCCCTCGGCAGCCCCGCAATGCGCGCCCCCGCCGGCTCCTTCCTTGGACGCGCTCTGTGCTATGCTGCGAGTGGCCAGGCGAGCGCGGCGCTGCTTCCCCTCCTCTGTGTCTGTCTCTGCTATCGACTCTCTTTCCATGTCTGGGGGGGAGGAGGGAGGGAGAAGGAGGCGGCTGCAGCTGCTAGCGTCGCCGTCCTCCATTTTGTGGCTGGGGCAAGCCGTAGAGCCGAGCGCAGACGGAGTGGCTGGCAGTCGGGAGGGGGAAGGAAGGCGGAAAAAGGGGGGAGGGCGGGACGCTTGGAGGGTATGTGGAAGGAGGGGGGAAGGGGGGGGCAAAGGGTGGCTAATTCGCTTTAATTAACAGGAGAGGGGGGGAGCAGAAGAGTGTGTGTTGGGTGGGGGGTGCGCATAGGAGCAGGAGCAGGTGAGGGGCTAGTGGCGCGGCGCGTGGAGAAAAGGGGGAGGGTTCGCCTCCCTTCTCATCTGCAAAGGGGCGGCTGCTTCAACCCCACACCCCACACCCAATCCCGTTGCCCCTTAACTCTCCTGCCTTCTAGTCTTCGCCAAGTTGTTTATTCGCCTCGCTTTTGGCTGGAGCCATGGAAGTTGGCGGTTAGAGAAGTCCCCAGCGCCACCACTCGATAAGGTAAAGGGTTTCTTTTTAATGTCGGGGGGGGGGGAGGGGGGGGGGGGATGGGGGGGGGGGGGGGGGAGGGATTTCAAAGGGACAGTTACTGTTTTTTACTTGTTGGTTCCAATAAGTCAGGGGTCACCCCCCCCCCCCATCTTCTAGTAATAAACCTCTTCTGTCTTCCTCCCCCCCCCCCCGACCAAGCGGTTTAGGACTGAGACTTGAGGCCGGATAAGAAGGGGGGGGGGGAATCGCGTCTCTCATGTCGGGTTGTTCAACTTTTAACTCGTCTGCGTTAAATTCAGCTGTGGGAGAAGGGGTGTGTTTGGGGGGGTAGTGCTATCTTGTTTCGCAACCATTTGGGTCTAATTTTATTTCTTTAAAGTCCTGTCTGGTATAGCCTAGTCGCAGAGAAAATTTCAAGGGGGCCATTAATAGTATGTAGTTCCTTCGCTCTCTTCTTCGGTGCCCCCCCCCCCCACTGCTTCCCGTGGAGAAAATGACATTTTCGATTTGTTTTTAAATTATGTATGTTTCTAAACAGATGGCGTAAAAACAAATTAAAAAGATAAAGGCTTTGCTCTTTTCCCTTTTTCTTTGTCCTTCTTCCCTTTCCACCTTAAAATTTTTTTTGGCGGGCCCGAGGGATAGGAAACAATCAAGAGAGTTAAAAACTCAGCACTTAAAAGAGTTTTTGTAGCAAAGGGTTGGTGTTATTTTGCAGAAGTGGGCGTGCCAGCAGAATGTTCAACAGGTCCCGACACATTTCTTCCTTTAAAAAAAAAAATCGGATCTACTTTTGGTAAAGGGGTCGCATTTCAGCTCACAAAGATCGTGCTTAATTTTTGGGGGGAGGTTTGCAGTCCTATCATGTGACAGATTTTCTCCTTTGGCGTTGTCTGTCATTTAATAGTGTGTGTGAAAGTGAGACAGAAACGTGTCAAATGTAACTCCAGTTCTTTCCTGTTCTTTTCTTCTTTTCATATAAACTATGTTTTTTATGACATGATGGTTCCATGGCAAAACAAAACACTTCTACAGAGAGGGTATTGCAGAATCAAATAGCTGGTTGTTAGGTTTTTTTGCTTGTTTTTATCGTTTAGTTTGAAGGAAGCTCTCAGAGAAGCCTGGTCAGTTCACAAAGCACCTTTTTATGTTTTTGGGAGACCTAATATGCCCCCCAAAGGAGAGAGGTGAACATAAAATCAAATAAATATTCAGAATAGTGGTTTCCTTTTCCTTTCAACCTGTGAACTATTAAGGATTGTCCTTCTTAAAGGCTCTTATGGTCAAATTTGTCTGATCAATTACTAATGGGAACCGACAAGCATACAGTAGCTTTTGGATGGAATAATATATTTGTTTTTCTCCAAGCAAGTCCACACGCAATGTAACTAGTTTATTTATTAGTGTGTGTTAAGTACAAATAGCTTATTTTTGATTATATAGTTTTAAAATAGCATTTATGGAAAAAGAAAGATATGTAAAGGAGTGATTTTTTAAAAACATTTTTCAATAATTATGTTGGAATAATTATACCCCTATACCATTTGACACTTAATTTGGACCAAAGTAAAATTTGATTCAATAAATTCGGGTAAACCCAGAACATTATACCGCCCCCCTCCTGTGTAACAAGTAGAAGTGGAAAGGAGAGAGAAGTTTAGGAAGTTAGCATGTATAGCTGTTAATGTGGTGTTGCCTGGGGAATTTTTTTTTCTTGGTGGAAGTGTCAGTGGTCCCTATTGAAAAAGCATGTGGAAGTTTTGTAATGTAAGTTCTTGTATTTTTCTCTTGCATTAGTAGTTGATAGATCTAAAATTTGGAAAACTCATGAAATTAAAATAAGAAATATTGGTTATCTTTGGTTTAAAATAGAGATAACGTCTATGTTTGCATTTCACTTTATGGTGTGTGCGTGTGTATGTATACAGTTCAGTGGCAGATGAAGTAAGATATTCTGAATAAGTAGTTTTCTTCATGTTTAATGATGTCAGGTTAGATACAATGTTATTAAATTGTAAATTGAGAAAATGGATTAAAATCGCAGTGCCAAGCATTTGGGATGGAGTACGAACTTTATTTTTTTTAAAAAGAGTAACATTAGAAAATAATGTCTGTCTCTTTAATTTAGATATGTACTGGCTTTCTTTAGCTTGCAGTGTATTTTATTTTCAGTTGTGAAGTTTTGGGCTAATAGTGAATATTTCTCTTCTTTTACAACCAGTATTAAGACAATGGAGTCCAAAGAATCACTAAAGTCCACAGGGGAGGAAGCGGGGAAATGTGTTCATTTCCGTGACAAAGGAGGACTTGTGATGGACTTTTCTCCAGCCTTTAGGGGTGGAGCTCCTGTCAAGTCTCCAGCATCTACAGCTACCCTGCCTGCCTCTTCTCAGTCCGACTCCAAACAGCAACCTGTTCTGTGTGATTTGTCAAAGGGATTAGGAAGCAATGCACCACAGCCAGATCTCTCCAAAGCAGTGTCGCTGTCAATGGGAATATATATGGGTGAGACAGATACAAAAGTGATGGGAAACGAACTTGGATTTCCACAGCACGGCCAAATCAGTCTCTCTTCTGGAGAAACAGATTTCAGGCTCCTTGAAGAAAGCATTGCAAGCTTGAATAAGTCCTCTAGCCTGGCAGAAGGCTCGAAGGGTACGGCATCTCTGGACGTGCTCCCGGAGCCAGGGTTCCCAAGCATGGCTGGTCATGATCGCACTTTAGAGCAAGGAGCTTTAGTGCAAGGCCAAGCTGGCAGTAATGGTGGCAACTTGAAGCTCTTTTCTGAAGACCAAAGCACCTTTGATATTCTGCAGGATTTTGATTTGCCACCAGTATCTCCCGGAAAAGAAACAAATGGGAGTCCCTGGAGAATGGACCCTTTGCTGGATGAAGGTAGCTTGCTTTCGCCTCTGGGTGCAGATGAGGGTTTTCTCCTGGAAGAAAAGGATATTGAGGACTGCAAGCCTCCTGTTTTACCAGACACTAAGCCTGCAATCAATGAGCGTGGGGATATTTTGCCCACCCACACAGTGCAGATGCCACAAGTGAAGACTGAAAAAGAAGATTTTATTGAACTGTGCACCCCTGGGGTTATAAAGCAGGAGAAAATTGGCCCAGTTTATTGCCAGGCTAGTTTCTCTGGTTCTAACGTGCTTGGAAATAAAACATCTGCCATTTCTGTTCATGGTGTCAGCACTTCTGGAGGACAAATGTACCACTATGACTTGAATACAGCATCCGTCTCTCAACAGCAGGATCAGAAACCAGTTTTTAATGCCATTCCATCTCATCCTGCTAGTTCAGAAAATTGGAATAGGTGCCAAGGATCTGGGGATGATGCTCTTACTGCAGTAGGAGCTTTGAATTTTTCTGGAAGATCTGCCTTCTCTAATGGATATTCAAGGTAAGAGATATTTTGTTTCACATTTATTACAAGTGTAAGTACTTGTACAGTACAATAATATACGTTGTTAAATTGGTAATCTAGTTCTAATGAGTTACCTGTCACTTGGGATTCGTTCACATAATGTAAGTAGAAAAATTATGGTTGATTAGATAACATTAAATGTCATGCTTTAAAAATGTGAAATGAGAAAAAAAGATTGAACGCAAGATGTATTGTATCTAATTCAAACCAATCTTTAACTACATTCAGATTGGTTGAACAAGTAAAGTTGCGTTTTTTCAAAGTAGTGTATATTCAACAACCAGTTTGGTGGGTAATCATAAAGTTTTTGAATTATTTAACAATTTTGTTTGTCTTGGTGATATGTTAACCTGCCAATAAATATTAATAGTTTTGGTAGTAGTTTTTTTATCTATAGTATTTAAAAGACAAAGAGGATGTGTATGAACCAAATAAAATTTTGATTTTAAAGTTGAGAAGTGAATCATAGTAAAACATTATTGTGCTGATTTTTTAAATCAGCGGTGTTCCTAGCTATTTGAAATATTTGGGTTGGAAGTTCATTAAAAATTCAGTCTAGTATAACTCGTTAAGCTGTAAATAACATTCCATGAGGCAGGCATTTTGTGGCAACCTTAAACATATGAACGTAGCTTTTAGAAAAAGCTTTTTAAATGGAGGACACAGCCTTGCATGTTCTCAATTTGCTTTTGAAATGCTTAGTATAAAGCTGCTAATTCCTTTTGTGTCCTCATAATTTGTTTTAAGTGGTTACTATCTGAACTAAAAGTACTTATATTTTGGATTGTTGCAGGAAAGCAGTCGTCATATATGGTATTTCTTTCAATCAAGGGGCATAGTAATAATAACACTTTTATTATGGTTTGAACCTGCTAGGCCAGAGCCTTTTTCCTCACATAGGATGTAGACCGAATTGAATTTGTGAATTGAAGTATATATCTAAAACATCTCAGGTTATGAATATTGATTTTGATATTTCTTTGTACAGCACAGAAGAACTACTTTGTCCTCAAAACTGAAAATGTTCATTTTGAGAATTTTTGATTTAAAACTCCGGTTATTATTGATACTTATAAAATACTATTAAAATTAGTTAATCTTCGTAAATTGAAGGATGAAAGAAATGTTGATGACTGTCAGCAGGGTTTTGATGAATGAATAATCTTCCAAATGGGAAGTAAGATCAATATCATAGAATTTCTCAACAGGGAAGTTATAGCTAGAATATAGTTTTATATAAGGCTTGAATTTTTAGTTGGATACTAACAATCGCTTGATCAACAAGGAAGATTTTTAGTCGGTACGACTGCAAGTTTATGGTGATCTCTCATGTTTTACTATAATAGGAAACAGAAACTATTAAATTATGTTTTTTCCTTCTGACAGTTAAAATTAATGAATGGTAGCTGTTTATTAAACTGGTAGTTGTCCTGTAGTTCAGCATGGTTGCTGATTTGATTCACCAAGCTATTGTTTGTGATGGTGGGTTGTGATAACTGTAGTTTGATGTGATGTCTAAATTGTCATAGCCACATTATAGAAATAGGAGTGTTAAGTAAATAGTAAATAAAAGGAGGCAAGCAGTTTTAAACCATTGTTTATCTCTTTTTGGAAACTGAAAGTATTCTGTTCAGAAATAATTATCAGTGTGAACTATGTTTTGGTGTGATGTCTGAACTGAGCTATTCCTTGTACATTTCGACTTGATCCAGGAGCACCTGCACACAGAGCTATTATAATAACGTACTCACTGACATCAGGAGCAGCATGTGAGACTATGGTCTTGTTCTTCTGCAGTTACTTACCAGTGCTGGTACCCACCATTAGTATTAAACTTAGAAAATTCAGATTGACTAGATTCAGTTACTACCTGGGGGAGGTTGAACAGCATGGGAAGAGAGAGAGAAATGGTGAAGGAAAAGCAAGAGGTTTTAAGCCAGAATGTACAAAGGCAGGTAGTACTATACAATATTTTTTTTTTGTAATTCACTGTGCACCATTGTGGGCATGAGTTTGGAATGTTTCAGTTTTAAGCCATCATAGTAGCTACTGAAAAGACTTCCTCCCACACCTGTGTTTTGAGTATGGTTGCAGTTATTGCAGTGCATTCTCAGTCACTGTGGACAATCTAAGGATTTCCATACTCTCTAAATCTATTGTGCATCAGCAAATTTAGAGATGTGGAATTAAATATAGCATATTCTGGGGGGTAAAAAACTAATTTGTTCACAGTTTGCTTGAGAACCTTTATAACAAGGGATTTTGTTTAAAAACCAAATTGGGCTATATCCATCCATCCGTCAACTTCGTGGAGTGGGAATGAGATATGGTACAATAGTAGCGCATCTGATTAGGATGCTGAAGATCTCAGGTTAGATCCCTGGCAGCTGCAGGAAAAAGGATTAGGCAGTAAGTGATGTGAAAGGCCTCTTATCTGAGACCCAGGAGAGCACCTGCTAGTCTAAGTAGACAATACTAACATTGATAAACCAATCTGTTGCAGTATAAGACAGCTTCATTAGTCCATCATACTATGCATGGGCAAAGTCCAGTGCTGTTGCCGGCTGAATGAAGAGCCCCAGGCATTGGCCTTGGAAGGGCTCCAGGCTGCCCAAATTATGAAGAATGCCTTGTAGTCCAGCCTCCCAAGCACCACTAAACCTTTCCCCAGGAAGCATCTCTGCATGCACCAACCAGTGGCAGCAGCATCCATTGTGGAGCACCTTTGTGTCTAGTTGACTGAGCTTTTCCCAGCAGACCTGAAGTGCTGTGATTCTGAGGAGAAATTGCTAACTGTTAGCTCAGGCCTAATCATTGCAGTCTCTGTGGAAGTCATACCCTCTCAGCTGGTTTCAGTGGGAGTCCAGGGATTCTTCCACGAGATAACTGGATTCACCCTGGAATAGGTTGCAGCATCGTAGTTACAATGGCAGCTGCAATATCTTGGCCTTGCCTAGGGCCTTTCCAATTTCTGTCAGGCAGCAATGGTTCTATCCCCCAGCTTCACAGGAGGGGGGACAAATATATTATGCATCATGATAGAATTTCCAGGCATCGTGAGGCAGCTCCCCAGATTTGTTGAGCTCTGACTGAGGCAGTTTTTGAGATTTAAAGTCAATGGGACAGGTTACAATTCATGTAAGAGAGGCATAATTGAGTCTTTTGGCATTTTTCTTTATATTGAAATGTAATTGCAGGATGCTGCCAGTTATTTTGGAGAAGTGCTAGCTGGGGCAGTACTGTTCACACAAAGCTGTATAGAGAAGAGAGAGAGAGAAAAGAGAGATTGGATTTATACCCTTCACTCAGAGTGGCTAACAATCTCCTTTCCCTTTTCCTCCTTGCAAGAGACACCCTGTGAGGTAGGTGGGGCTGAGAGAGCTCTTTTGAGAACTGCTCTTTCCAGAACAGCTCTGAGAGAACTATGGCTTACCCAAGGTCATCCAGCAGCTGCAAGTGGAGGAGTGGGGTATCAAATCCGGTTCCCCCAGATAAGAGTCTGCGCATTTAACCACTACACCAAACTGGCTCTGTCAAAACCTTTGCCCCCCCCCCCCCCCCACATAGCTTTAGGTTAATAAAAGTAAAGAAATAAAATAAATGAAGAAATCAAAATTGTTAAACATTTTCTATTCCTTGGTTTCATCATCAACCAAAGGGGACACTGAAATCAAGAAATCACAAGGAGATTAAGACTGGGAAAGGCAGCCATGAAGGAGCTTGAAAAGATTCTTAATTGTAAGGATATGTTGCTGGTGACCAAGATCAGGATAATTCATACCATGGTATTCTGCATTGGGTTGGGGGGTTTTTTGGTGGGTTTTTTTTTTTTTTTTTGCATTTTTGTGTATGTGCCCATGCCTGGAAGGCATGGCAACCTCTGGTGACTTCTACCGGGGTGTGGAGGACGTATAGAGAAGTGGCTTGATTGCCTGCCTCTGCCTCCCGGCCCTGGTATTTTTTTGAGGTCTCCCGTCCAAATACTTGCCAGGGTTGGCCTTACTTAGCTTCCGAGATCTGACAAGATTGGATTTACCTGGGCTATCCAGGTCAGAACTATTCCCCATTGTTATATATATATGTGTGTGAGTTGGACAGTGAAAAAAGTGGACAAGAAAAAAGTAGATTCATTTGAAATGTGGTGTTGGAGGAGAGTTTTATGGATACCGTGGACCACCAAAAAGACAAATAAGTGGGTTCTAAATCAAATCCAGTCTGAATTCTCTCTAGAAGCTAAAATGACCAAACTGAGACTATCATACTTTCGTCACATTGTGAGAAGACAAGAGTCACTGGAAAAGACAATAATGCTAGGGGAAGTTGAAGGCAGCAGGAAAAGAGGAAGACCTAACATGAGATGAATTAATGAAGGAAGCCACATCCCTCAGTTTGCAAGACCTAAATGAATCATTGTCAAGTAGCCACAGAAATATTGAAGGTGGGGCTAAGGAATTTGGAAAAGCTGGGGGGTGGGATAGAATGAACTTTGCCCCTCTATATCTGAAAAATTCCTGTTCTTTGAGAAATAGAATTTGCTGTGCAATGAGGGGGAGCAGTTTTGGGAAACAGGCAGGAGTACATTACATAGATTATAAAAATAAATGTAAGAGGATATGAAGAAATATTTGCACTAAGTTTTAGAATTATGGAAAGTACAAGTAGGAACCCACAAGACTTGTGGGAGGAATCCCCTTCCCCCTGCTTCCTGCTTGCCCCCCAGGCCAGCCACTTGTTGGCTAGCCCACTAGCCTGCAGTGCTGGCTCCAGTCACCCACCTGCCTCATGTGGTGGGAAGCAGCTTTTTCTCCCCTGTCCACCCAATTGTAGAGGAGAGGTGGCAGAGTCAACATCAGCAGACAAGGGGATAAGCAGCAGCAGCTCCTTTCCTTGTCCCTCTACCACCTGCGATGCTGCCAACTTGGTGGTGTAGTGAGGGGATCAGTTCCTGTTCTCCCTCCCCCACCCAGAGAGGAGTG